TGGGTGGCGCATAACGAAGATTCAGAAAAATCGTTTGTTATTATCGTATTACCTTCTTGACAAACACTGTCCGGGTGTTTGCCTACTCTGGGGTTAAAGTCTCCCATAATAAGAATTGAACCGAGGGAGGAGAATTTCTCCATGTCGCTTTCAAGCTCTTCAAATAGTTCAGGTCGAAAGTAGCGAGAACTGTATGGTGGAATGTACGTTCCACAGACATAAATGTCTTTTGTAGTTTTTGTGCAGCGATTACTAATTTTAAAAAATTTGGTGATTCTGTGTTGTCATTGGACGCTTTAGTGAAAAACGTTTTTTTAGAAATACTTACAGATCGGATCTGTAAGTATTTCTAAATATTTTGCTTATGAGAATTTTAGATGCGGCACAGTTTTGTTTTACCCGATCAAAAGATGGAAACAGGAAAATTTGATGAAAAATCATTATTAGTACATGTGGTTGTAAATGGCTTTGTAGAATTATTCGATTCCTTTGTCTGGTGCAGGTGTATGCATAAATCATGTGTGTTATGTCTTGGTAGTCTTGGCAGAGCCAATGAGACGTTCTTATTTTGTTTTCAAGATTCATTTTATAGCTGGATCTAAAGCAGGCTTGTACTGTTTCGACCCGGGTGTTTCGAGACAAAGTGGCCTTACTTAATATTACCTGTTTGTGACACACATATCAAACTTCAGCAGGCAGCAGTTCACTTTTTTGGTTAGTTATAAATAGTTATTTACACTGTTATTTGAATATATTTTTAACTCTTGAGGCTGACAAGATATTTAACACATGTTATTTCTTTAACTCACTATCAATTTGGCTCATCCTCGTCCAGCGGATGAGTTCTTCACTGGACCGCAAGCTTTGGGTTTTTGTGGTTTCCTCGTTTTCACTAATACATCCTTCGTATATATTCACTACTACATCCTTCCTTATACGATTTTTCTTTTGGAAACCAGGGTGTCAATGGTTTCCCTTCAAATTAATCTTTTTAAATGACATTTATTTTTGGCAAATACAAATTTTCACTAACCATTCTGCAAACATATTGACAGTATTAATTATTTAACATATTTCATTCAAAGCTGACACACAGGACTTAGATACTTATGATGTTGTAAGGTTGTTACTTATTACTTGCTTCTAGAACTAAACACGGCTTAAAATGAACTCAGTTTAAGTACACTGTGGATTCCAATAGTTATAACCTGAGATAAGGCTCTATTTTCGTTTCACTTTGTAAATAACATTCGCGTGGGCAAGGCGATTTTAGCGGGAGCACTGAAGAGAGAGTATATGAGAACTGCTAAAATTGGGCCTGATCTCAATTCATTGCCTATGCGGAAGTTATGTTCACATTTTCGTGTTTATCGTTGAAAAATCATTATTTTGGTTTTCTTAGGATTTATTCTAAGCATCCATGAGTTGCAATATGAAGATAGTAGGTTAAGGCAGTTTTGTAGACCAAGTTTGGATCGCGGTAATATTATCAAGTCATCTGCGTAAAGGAGAGAGTTGAGTCTGGTGCCATTTGGTAACACGAAAGGGTCTGATAAAATATTGTCAAATGAGAACGCTAGATCGTTAAGGTAGACGTCAAAGAGCAGAGGGCTTAAAATGCAGCCTTGCCGAACTCCTCTTGCGTATTGAAAAGATTACGTTCTGTTATTTCCAATCCCGACAGAGCAGGTAGACTTCGAGTATAGACTCTTAATTAGACTATAAAACTTTCCTTGGACATTGATTTTAGATAACTTATAGAGAAGCCCATCATGCCAAACCGAATCAAAGGCTTTCCTAAAGTCAACAAAACACGCATATATTTTCTGCTTGTGACAATGGGCATATTTGTCTATTAATGTTCGAATTCAATTCAATTGAGAGGACATGATCTGCTGTTCAATTTTTTGCTATAAATCCAATTTGAGACTTGTGAAATACATTATTTAAGTCAACGTGCTTTAGAAGTCTCTGATTGAGAATTGAACAAAATAGTTTTCCAATACAACTAGAAATACAAATTCCACGGTAGTTTAATGGAACGCTTTTAGTACCACATTTAAAAATTGGTGTAATGAGGCTATCACACCACATTTGGGGCATAGTTCCTGAGTCGAGGACCGTGTTAAATAGTTTTATATGAACAGGCATTAATTTTTTTAGGCTAGATTTGATCATTTCGTTTTTTATTTTGTCTAAAAAAGAAGATTTGTTGTTTTTGAGGTTTCCAGCTACAGTGCGAATTTCACTTTCAGTGATGAGGTAATCCAAGGAGTGAGATCGTGTGGTAATATCCTTTGAATTCTGCCACTCATCAATTGCCTCCTGCTGTTCATTAAGGGGTTCATTCGAGTGCAGAGAATAAAAGTGGGACATCCATTTTTCTTCAGAAATTGAAGGGGTGTAGGTTTCCTTCATAGTGTTGTCCATCGACTTGAAACAGTTCCAAAAGCTCTTATTGCTCGAATTTTCGACAGTATTTTCAAGTTCACAGATCTTATTGCTATAGCATTCGTTTCCCTTATGTTTCAAAAGGTTTTTATATTGCTTTAAGACGTTGTCATACTCTTCCCTGAGAGTATTGCTTAGAGGATCTCTGTGTTTTTGATTAGAAAGTTTCCGCAGTTCATGTCTTTTATCGCGGCATTCTTTGTCGAACCATTTTTTGTTCGAAGATATTTTGCAACGTCGCTTTTTTGCTGTTTTGATTTTCAAACAGCGTTTTGCGGTTGAAACAAGAATATTTTCTACTGCATCAAGGTTCATGTCAACATTTTCTCGTGATTGTTGAAGTATTGATAAAATCGTGGACCATTCTTTGAATGCCTTCAGACTGTAATGTAGCTCTAAATTTTTGTGACGAATCGTTTTCCCAAAAAACTGTTTTGGTAGAGGAGTCAAAGAATCATTTATAATTGCCTCGTTTGATGAATCATTATCTAAATGACGGTTAACCTTAGGCCATGTTATTATTGGACTATGATCTGATAAACTGTTCGGCTCTTTCACTATAAAAGATGTTATATTTCGTAGCAAATCTTGGTCACATATGGAGTAATCAATGACACTGATTCCCGATTTACCATGAAATGTAGGTCTGCCTAACGAGTCGCCATTAATTCTACCATTTAAAATTCTTAAGTCCGCGCTTCTACAAATTTCCAAGAGTCGTTTTCCATGATTATTCAAATCATTATCAAAACTTTTTCGTTGGGTGGCGCATAACGAAGATTCAGAAAAATCGTTTGTTATTATCGTATTACCTTCTTGACAAACACTGTCCGGGTGTTTGCCTACTCTGGGGTTAAAGTCTCCCATAATAAGAATTGAACCGAGGGAGGAGAATTTCTCCATGTCGCTTTCAAGCTCTTCAAATAGTTCAGGTCGAAAGTAGCGAGAACTGTATGGTGGAATGTACGTTCCACAGACATAAATGTCTTTTGTAGTTTTTGTGCAGCGATTACTAATTTTAAAAAATTTGGTGATTCTGTGTTGTCATTGGACGCTTTAGTGAAAAACGTTTTTTTAGAAATACTTACAGATCGGATCTGTAAGTATTTCTAAATATTTTGCTTATGAGAATTTTAGATGCGGCACAGTTTTGTTTTACCCGATCAAAAGATGGAAACAGGAAAATTTGATGAAAAATCATTATTAGTACATGTGGTTGTAAATGGCTTTGTAGAATTATTCGATTCCTTTGTCTGGTGCAGGTGTATGCATAAATCATGTGTGTTATGTCTTGGTAGTCTTGGCAGAGCCAATGAGACGTTCTTATTTTGTTTTCAAGATTCATTTTATAGCTGGATCTAAAGCAGGCTTGTACTGTTTCGACCCGGGTGTTTCGAGACAAAGTGGCCTTACTTAATATTACCTGTTTGTGACACACATATCAAACTTCAGCAGGCAGCAGTTCACTTTTTTGGTTAGTTATAAATAGTTATTTACACTGTTATTTGAATATATTTTTAACTCTTGAGGCTGACAAGATATTTAACACATGTTATTTCTTTAACTCACTATCAATTTGGCTCATCCTCGTCCAGCGGATGAGTTCTTCACTGGACCGCAAGCTTTGGGTTTTTGTGGTTTCCTCGTTTTCACTAATACATCCTTCGTATATATTCACTACTACATCCTTCCTTATACGATTTTTCTTTTGGAAACCAGGGTGTCAATGGTTTCCCTTCAAATTAATCTTTTTAAATGACATTTATTTTTGGCAAATACAAATTTTCACTAACCATTCTGCAAACATATTGACAGTATTAATTATTTAACATATTTCATTCAAAGCTGACACACAGGACTTAGATACTTATGATGTTGTAAGGTTGTTACTTATTACTTGCTTCTAGAACTAAACACGGCTTAAAATGAACTCAGTTTAAGTACACTGTGGATTCCAATAGTTATAACCTGAGATAAGGCTCTATTTTCGTTTCACTTTGTAAATAACATTCGCGTGGGCAAGGCGATTTTAGCGGGAGCACTGAAGAGAGAGTATATGAGAACTGCTAAAATTGGGCCTGATCTCAGGTTAAATAGTTACGCCACGATAGGGCCATTTATACGAGGAAAAATAAGACGCGTCTTACATAAGACGCGTCTTAAATAAGACGCGAACTGTACCATTTATACGAGCATACCTTATCATAACAAGACGCGTCTTAGCTAAGCCGCGTCTTATTTCAGACGAAGTGTGCCGTTTATACGGAAAGTTCGTCTTATTTTTCCTCGTATAAATGGCCCTAATGATGAAGTTCTTTCTTTTTTCAAGAACTTAAAACTCAGAATTCATTTTTCTGGGGCAGAGTCATGCATGGCTCAGGTGTGTTCTTGTCTTAATACACGTTATCAAATCGAGAGCTTTTCACAACTTCAGTGGACTTAAAAATTTTTATTTATGAAATGTATTAGTTCAAAAGTGGAAAATCAGAGAAAAACGCTTATGTTGTTTGTTTTCTTTTTTAAGTTATTGGTTACAAACTGAAGACAGAATGGATGAGGAGGAAAGTAACGGCTACGATGACTTTCCTGACAACGCCGATGTCATGTGGATGAAAATGGCCTTGATGGCAGCGAGTCGTGCTGAAGTAACAAAGCATGCTGAGGGAAACCCTAGTGTTGGCTGTGTAATTCGTCGCTCAAGAAATTATGGTCCTCCTGCAGTGTTAGCAGTTGGTTGGAACGGGTTCCTTCCTGATACACCTGAAGAGGAGATAGCTGAAATAAAGGGTCGCTCCTTCAAAGGGGACACGACTGATCAGCAAAAGAAGAAAAGGGATAAAGCACTGACTGACGAACTCGGCCTACATGCTGAGGTAAACGCCCTACAGTACTGCTCCGAAAGAGCGGAGATGGCTTCTATCTACACGACTCATGTGCCATGCTACAATTGTGCAAAACAACTTGTTGCACATAAAGTTGGGCGTGTTTTTTACCTGTTTTGGATGAAAGGTAGTGAAACGTCAATAGAGCTTTTCAAGAAGTTTGATATAACTTGCGTACCCTTTGGAAGGCGAGGCGAAGTACTAGAGGATTTTAACATGCCAGATTTCCTTACCAAACGCAAAATTGTTCAGGGAAGCACTGTTGCGCAAACATCCATAGAACCACATCAATATTTTTTGGATAGTAGAGACCAGAGGCACTTGGAAAATTGTATTACAAAGTATGAATGTAAGTTGTCTTGAGTTCTAGGGCAATAAGATTTGATCCATGATAAATTATTACTATTACAATGATTGAATTAAAATGTCCCCCTCGTGAAATCGCCTCATTTTTGCCTGCTTGGGCACCGTGAACGGATTTAATAATATCTGTGATTAAATGTTCATACCTCGGCTTTGCTCAAAAACTGACCTTCTAATTCATCTATTTTTAAGTAATCAAAAAATTTTAAAGAGAGAAAGACTGATTGTTTTGCAATAATTTCATTACGTTTTAAGCCAGGCCCTTGTCCAAGTTTCAGAATCACTGAAGAAAGGTTAAGTAGGAGAGAAATGGGGTATTCACTTTAACTCGACTTATAATAATTGGTACGCAAATCGGATATCTTACTGAAAATTGACTTACACAAATTGGCATTCAAAGCTGCCATGGCCGTATTCAAAGTTTTAGACTGTGCAATTTCTGAGATCTGGAAAAATTGATTTGCTTTCAGCCATTTCCTAAATTACTCTTCGTACTATTTCGTGAATGGACTACGCCTATCTCGAAAAACAACTGCTAGCATCAAAATTGTTTGAGGTAACTTTAGCGTTGATTTATTCTTATTGCAACTACAGGAAGAAAAAAGAAAATAAGCTTAATTTATTTATTCTTGACTTAGGGAAGACAAAGAGGGATGAGAAGAAACCGGATGCTACAATGACTTTCCAGGCATCAAAACAGTATCACTCGGTTTATTATTATCGTCCCTACTGTATTACTATTATTATTATATTATATTATGTTATATTTTGTTCTATTTATTCCACTTTATAGTAAGTTAAGAGGATCAGAAAACAATCGTAGTTAATATGTACAATACATGTAAACAACAATAGACTGCTAAATACACTAATTAAAGTACATATATACTTTTTTTTATATAAGAATGTTGTTTTTACGGCCCAGGCTGAATATTTTTATTTTTCTGTCGATCTTAGGCTAAAAATATTCACGTAATTATTCTTAAATTATAGCTTATCACATTTTCGTTCCAGAATACATTTAGAATATCAATTAAGGTTAGTGCAGGTTTTTTCGTTTTGTTCGTTTTGTTTTTCGTTTTTTTGCCTTTTAGAGAAAGGAATCAGTTAAAAAGGTACATTTGTACCGTATTTACAGATTTTCAACACACAAAACACCCGAAAACTATATCCTTTTCAAAATCTCAGCCTGGAGTTTATTCCTCAAATCTTCTTAAATTTTCGCAAATTTCAGCCTCGATATTCTTATGAAATATATTCGTATAAAATAAGAAGAGTGCAGAGAAGTAAAAAGAAACCAAAAAAAGACGTTGACTTATTGTGCGCACAAACAAAGGTATAATACTACAGAAGAACGTTTTACTGAACAGAACAAATTTCAGATATTGTTTGAACCACCCAAAAAGAATTTTAATTTGGAATAAGGGAAATGCAGTCATCGCCAAGCTAATAGTATATTTTTAGCTGAATAATTAACTTGGATATAAATTCGGATGTAACAGCTTTCTTTTGCATTGTTGAACCACTGAAGGGACTCGTCACATAATTTCTTAAAGGAAGTGATATTCAAAGAATGCATGTTCAATAGAGTCATTTTCGCTACAAATAACACATTTCTGGTAATCAGTTATCCCAAAGTGTTTCAATTCCTTGTTAGTGATTACTATTCTGTGCAAACGTTTAAAACAAAATTGCCTTAACTTGTTATGCCAAGTAATTTTATAGTTATTTTGCATGCAGTGCATCCAATTGTCAGCACCTTCAGGGCAATTGTTCTGCCACGATTTAAAAGCAGTCGATTCAGCATTAATTTTCTTAGCAAACAGTTTATAAAACTGCTTATAGGAGGTTTTCTTTAAGTTTATAGTTATATTTTTAGCTAGATAAGAATCAAAGCTTACACCAATTGAATTAAGATTCCCAAGGTCCGTATGAGCAGATGCCTCTCTTTTTAAGATGTGTGGGAATGGCTGAGATGAGCTTACAGCAGGTCTTATAGTAATGCAAAAAGTTGACTTTAGTATTATATTTGACACCAAATTCTTGAGGAGAAAGGTAATTGCCCTGATCGCAGCGTTAGGTCACGCGAGAGCCAAATGTTGAGCTTTCCTTCCATTATCCTTATTTTGATATGAAAATTGTTGTTATCATTCCAGCTTCATTATGGGAAAGGTATGTTCCAAGAAATTGGTTCGGGTCTTCTGGACACTCAAATTCTAAAGTGTTTTTGCTCAAAAAAATCGATCCACAAAGCTTCTGTTTTCTTTTGGTTTAATCGCAAGCCGGACAATACTCCAAATGAATTCAGTGCTCATAGCATTTCTTAGTGACCTGGTATCTTCAAGATTAATGAGTGTGGTGTCATCCGCGAACTGTGAAATCTTGGCATTTTGTCCATTTGGGAGCTCAATTCCCCGACAAATTTGTTCTTGGCGTACTTTAAGGGCTAGCATTTCAACTGCCAATACAAATAGAAGAGGACTCAATGGATACCCTTGGTGAACCCCTCTGGACACTTTAAAGTACTAGTTAGTCATAATACCCGCAATCATAACGCGTTTTCAACATCGTTACAAAGAATGGATACCCATCTCCTAATATTTGGGCCGAAGTTATATAACGGTACCATACACTTGTAAATAAAATTCCATTCAATGGTGTCAAATGCCTTGCGAAAATCAATAAAGAGAAGAATTCCCTTCATGAAACCCGTTTGATCAGAGTGGATCAGCAAGGAGAGTACTTTCGCAGCTCTTTGGCTAAGAGGTTTTAATTTGCCAAAATTTTAAAGTCAGCGTTTAGGAGGGTTAGCGGACGCCAATTAGTCAACTCTATAAGGCAAGAATGGTCTCTCGGTATGAAACAAGTAACTCTACACCTCTGAGATATTGACAATTGTCCTTTATGTTGAAAGCGTCATTATATGAATTAAGGAGGTGTAAGCCAATCGCGTCAAAGAATGTTTCATGAAATTCTTTGGAAAAGCAATCCTCAGCAGGGGATTTATTGCTTTGAAATGAACTCAAGAAATTTTTCAATTCAAGAAGTGTCAGATTTGCTTCATACAGGGCCGATGACTCCTCAAGTGATAATTGTGGAATTTGTAGATCCGCGACAAAAGCATTGAATTCCTCATTGAAATCGGTGGGTTTGATGAATTTGTTTCTAGTAGATTGCTATAAAATGATTCTATTTCCTTGTTTATACTACTACATGAGAAATTTCTGCAATTTGATTGGCTTAGAGCAGTGGTATTTCAGCATAATTTGAAATATCTTCCTGTGAAAATTACAAAACCTTTGCGGGTAGTAGACAAGTGTAAACAAACAATAGCAGGATTTGTACGTGATATTTGGCATAAATACCACTTGTGATATTTCAAAATTGTCTCAAATTTCACTCTCCTAACGGCTCGTAAAATTATGTATAACAATTTTGAAATATCAATCGTGGTATTTATGCCAAATATCACTGCATATCATGCTATTACCTATACTAATTTGTTTATGTCTGAGATGACTTCGCCATTCTCGAGTTTCAATTGTGTGATGATCTTTTTCTCATAGTTTCGCCAGTTTCTGAGCTAAAAAAATTATTGGTGGTCTTTTCACCTTTTTCAGTCCATCGAGCTTTTAAACGGAACATGGCTTCTTGACCTCTTTTTGGGTATAACTGATGGATTCGAAGACGCGGAAAAATACCCTACAAGTAGAGTTGTCTGACGAGCAACCAAGATATACCGTAGTCTCTTGTAAGCTTCCGCCCGGGCACCAGAAGTGGACTTGTTGCATTCTTGGGCTGTGGATTTGTCAAATCGTCTCTGTAAGAGTAAATACAATTGTAAAGTACGTGTAGCCCCTCATTTTCCCTCATGGATATGTTCTCTCTCCCGGCTCCGTTTCGTCTTTCTCGCGTTGGGTGATTATCAAGCGTGCTCGCGTTTGGCTCGCTCTACTATCCCTGTAGCCTCCCACGCAGGCGCTTTTAGGGGAGCTCGTTTTTCATCCCTTTCCCCGTTTGTGGGGAGGGATGAAAAACGAGCTCCCCTAAAAACGCCTGCGTGGGAGGCCACTATCCCTGAGGAAAATGAGGGACTATTCGTAGTCTAATACATTTGCTAATAAAAACATTTGTCAGCGTTTAGGCATGTCAAAAGGGAAAAAGCCTCACTCCCGGTTGACGTGCGTCGCTCAAAAACGCCTCTGCTTGAGCTCCCTGTTTAGCGTACGTAAGAGGACGTGCTAGGTCTGACTTACTTTTGTCGACTGGCTGAAAGGTATTCAGGAAAACTAAATAGGGAGTTTAAGATACGACGACTACGGGCTACGACTACGGTTAAACATGCCACTGCGCATGATCAAAACCACGTGACTGTTCATTTTTCCCGCGTAGTCCTGCGGCTATGGTGAGTTGTTGAGCTGTTTCGCGTAGTCGGGACCACGGAGAACATTTTGCTCGTATTTTACCGTCTCAGCAATTCAAGAATCTCGTCTTTTCGTAAAAAAGTTTTCAATTCACCTGCTTTAAGTGAGAGGGAAGGGAAATATGTAAGTTGTGTCTAATTTCTGCTCAGATTCACGCTTTTAACCCACTGTTGTGACTACATTTTTATCTAGCTAAGCTCATATTTAAATAATCTTAGCTGTTTATACGCAGAATTCAGATTAACGGCCGAGGAGAAGAGAAATCATGCGGGTAATTTAATTACTTTTTCTTCGCACTTGAAAAGTTCCAATGTTTGTTCGAACTGATTATAAGTGTGTCTTTCTACTTGTGTAACCTTTGTTTATGCGAGTTTTTGTATCGCATTTTCTGAATGAAAATGATGTAAACCCCTTCGAGACAATCGAAACTCGGCATTTTAATACTCCAAACTACATCAGATCAGTAGTCGGAGAAGTCCATCTTCTAAATCTAATAAATGAGCTATTACCATTTCTGTCTATTTCTTTAATATTTGACATAAGTATTCATGGGCGAAAAAAATAAAGCCTGTTTAACCAAAACTTTGTTCACCAATTTCACCCGACGTAATTGCTTCCTTCAAGTATGGAAGAATTTGTTCATTGTTCTAAGATCACATGCAAAACTGACTTGCATTTTTGTGACCTGTGATGAAAACAAGAAAATCTTTGCGTATTGTTTCCCTCTCCGCCTCTTCTCTCGTAGTCTACTGTCTGTAGTGCAATCTTAACGTTCTATATTTGCACGACTCAACCCAGTGCTACAAACAAAGGACAACGCTCGTCCAGCCGTAGTTCGTAGTCCGGAGTCTCCCTATCTTAAACTCCCTAATATCTATAAAGCAACATAACTGCAATAAATTGGCCAAAAAGATTGATTGAAGGGGCACAATAAAGGAATTCAACGGCATGGGTGGAACTTCTCTCCAAAAATGAACGGGAGTGTTCGGCTGAAAATTTTGAAAACACTCCTATAAGGTGATAAACTCTCATTTTGTTATCGAGGCTCAAAGCCCTTAAAGGTACCAAGTATCAAGTAACGTGGACTTAACCGCCAGTCGCATTGAGTGTCAGCCCAACGCCTGGAAAAGTAAGCAGCACCATGGATATACTCTTTAGTAAACCACCTTTGACAGAAAAATGATGCCCATCTCGCGTACCCTCTATCGGAACACCTAAATGAAAGTTTTCCCTATCCTTTATTTCACTTCAATTTGTGAGAAATTCCACCCCCTCTATG